ACACAGCTACTCTAGAATAACAAATACTTTAAAATACATTCTAGGTTGTTTGAAACTTCTTTCTGCAGAGGTAAATCACCAGATTAGCTCATATGTACATTTTACATGGAAGAACAGTCTTTCTTTCATGATTTCTACTTTGGCCTTATTGCCAGCAATTAAAATCATAAGTGCATTCCTCAACCACAGAACACGCCAAGAAATAATAAAAATGTCAAATTGTATTCAGATCGCCTCTCATTACATTCAATAACCTTATAGGTAATATTAACTTTGTCTAGCTCCATTCTCTTTAAACCAAGTCTCATTCCTTAGTACCCTTTATTCTCCTGCTTAATTGGGTTTGGATACTGTTTAGCCAGAATTTTTCCAGTTTCAAGTAAGGAAAACCAACCGAAAGAAGATAAAGCAAAAGGAGATTTGACTTGCTTCAATAAGTAGTTATCCCCAGGAGTTTGACCTTGAACTCAGGATCCAGAAATTCAGATGGCAGCATTAAGACTATTTCTCTCTTAGATCTTTGAGTTGGCTTCACCATGAGGCAGGCTATGTCCAAGCAAAGGCAAAGGTGGCTAGGCTTACATCACCACCCAGCTTGTTGGCTTGGAGAAAGAGAACCTATGTGAACCTCTGAAAGGCTGTGGATTGGCCTCTGAACCAGTTGCTGTGGCTGGCCTGCATCTCATGCACTCAGGAAAGAAAGGTAGAGCCTTACCAAGGTCTCCTAGAGATTGGAAGAAGCAGTTCCTAAAAGGAAAAGATGCAGAACAAGAGGCAAAAACAAACAAGAAATTTATTGGCCACTATTGAGACCTTATGTGTTTGTAATTTTATAACTTAATAGATTTTAATGATTTTCATAAGTAAAAGGCCCTGCATAACTGGAAGGTTTGTATTTCTTGAAAAGAGTCTAAGAAGGTGTTTCTGGGCCAAATAGCTGCAGTGCTTGGAAAGAGCTATCTCATCAAGCTACATCTCTCTACCCCCTTCCACCAGCCAAGGAAAGCTCTGTTGCCATTTAAAGTATTCTTCCATGAGGGACAAAGGGTTATCGAGTAGTCCTATTGTGTCTTTTAACCTGTATGGATCTTTGTTACGGATGAGTGGACACAAGGGATTTTACTGCAACCGTTAAAGTATCTGGAATCCTTTTCCTCCTATCTACTCACCAAAACAGTATCTGCCTTTCCAGCTCCAACTCCTTTGCTCACGTGCTACACACTGTCCCACTTTCTTTCACTGGAAAAGGCAGTGAAGCTGCTCATATACGGTGGCTGCATGCTTTTATCATTGCTTTTCTCCCCCAGAAAGCCCTTACCTCCTTTTTGCACTAGGTTGCTGAGAAAATTTAAAACCTTTCTCTGGTTCTGCAAGAAATACCAGTGAATGAAGAGGAGAATCCAGTAGATAATAAAGATGATTAGAGCTTGTTGGCAGTCATTTGCTACCAAGGAGATGAAATAAAGCAATTAATTACTCAGAGACATCTAAAGAGCAAGTGCTAACTGGTAGGCATTTCTTTGTTTAATGCATTTGAAATCCTAGCTAGTTTAATTTTGCCTCAAGGAATTTTTCCTTCTTTTTCTTTTGGGTCTAGTAATAAAAGTATTAAGGTCATTAACATAAACTGAAAATGTCTTTCTTTTTAAACCACTTGTCTTTATTACTTCACTGGCTGAACAAAGTCACAAATGTCATATTCAAGTCACACTGAATTTACTGAAAATTTGAATGTGTATGACTGCTGGGGCGTGGTGTCACTAGAACGTTACAATTATTGAGAATACATTTCTCACTTATCTCCCAAGCAAGACAATCAACACTGAATTTCATTTTTAAAAGGAAATAATTTTAATAGCACCTTAAAATGTTTCTTTCCAGACCTTTTTCTCATTTTTGTGTGTACAAGTGTTTCACTTCAGCAAACATCTTTCTACATACAGCTTTGTAGAGTCCTCAGATATTTTCCTTAACATAAACCCTGTGGAAAGAAGCAAACTGTTATCAACTACCCGGTCCCAGCCTGGTGCTGGGTACTTGGCAAACCTATCTCATTAGTTCCCCGATGCCTGGGTTATTATAGTAGTCCCCCCTTATCTGTGGTTTTGCTTTTTGCTCTTTCGGTTACTCTTGGTCAGCCGTGGTCTGCAAGCAGATGATTCTTCTTCAGACATATTCTCAGGTCAGTAATAGCCTAATGCTACATCACAGTGCCTGTGTCATTCACCTCACTTTATCTCATCATGTAGGCATTTTATCATCTCACATCATAAGAAGGGTGACATTTTGAGAGAGACCATATTTACACTAACTTTACATTACATATACTGTTATAATTGTGCTATTTTATTATTGCTTATTGCTTTTAATCTCTCATTGTGCCTAACTGATCAACTTTATCATAGGTATATATGCATGTATAGGAAAAAACATAGTACATATAGGATTCAGGTCTATCTGCAGTTTTAGGCATCCATTGAGGGTCTTGGAACGTACTCCCTCTGGATAAGGAGAGATTACAGTAATCTCATTTTGTTGATCTGGAAACAGAAAGGAGCGTCAGTAGCTCCCCCGATGTTACACAGACTTCTAATCTAGGTCCAGCTAACTCCATACCTTTGCTTTTTCAAGGACATCGTATTTATTATGTTCTCTCTGCTTCAACATATGGTTAAGAGCAATGTCTGGAGGCACAATATCTTAATTCAGAACTAGATCCATCACTTATTTGCTAATATTTTCCTCTGTGCCTCAGTTTCTTCCTTTGTGAGAAGAGAAACGTAATAAACAAACAGGTCTCATAGGGTTGTCGTGGTGATTAAATGAAGTAATCCATGTAGACCACTTAGAACAGAGTCTGACCCAGTTACCTTTGTAATAACTGTCAGCTGTTGTTTCTATGTATTATTACTGTTAGTGTTGTTATTACCATCATCATCATCACGACAGTTTTTCCCCAAACAACCATGGCTTTCCATGTCATTCTAAAATGGAGGGTGGTCTGGATGACTTCTCCATACGATGCCTAAAGTTCATTCTAATACTATTATTTTATGTCGGTATTTTCATACCTGCATTCTCCTGGACACAGTATAGAGATACTGGTGTTAACCAGTATCTTTTCTGACCTATTTTGAGTATGACAATCTGCTGAATTAATATGCTGCTGAAGGACACTGCAGATTTATACTGAAAATGCAGCCTAATTGTTGACAATGGTTTTCATCTCATTTTCCATTTCTCTGTTATCTGTTGGTTGATTTTTTCTTTCTTTTTTTAAAACTCAGGGTACAACTGATCCTTCTGGAGGGAACTTTTGCAGAATTCTTGATTGCAGGAGTTTAACATAAGTCCAAATTTGTAAGGAAAATGAAGCAGATGAATTTTCTCATTGTCAAAAAAAATGAATGCCTTGATGATATATTTGTTTTTCTTAGTAGGCTTCTGTCATTAAGATGGATGCTTGAGGATATATTGTTAGATCTTGTGTGGAACAGAGAGTTATTACTCATAGTTTACCAGATCCTAGCATACTTGCATCACAACATGGAATATCATTTTACATTTAGATTTGCAGTTCCAGGGCCATTATCAGATTGCATTTTCATATTGAATTACAAACAAAAATTTTATGTTACTAACACTTAATGAAATTTTAATAAGGTTGTGTTTTGATGCTATTATTCAAATAATGTGTTTTGAATTGCTTTCCTTTGACTATATTTGCATTAAAGAGGAACTCGATTTGATTTGGTTCTTTGAAGTTTTCCCACTTTCTGGGCAGCTTTCAAAAGACAAAGTAGGAAATTCAGTTTCTCTGCAAGTCAGTAAACAGAAAAGGAACGCATTTGCTAAGATCTGCAGAAGTAATGGCAGCAGACTGCAGATGGTTTGAGTTAATGAAATGACTCATGTAGGCTATTAGAGCTGCACAATTAAAAATATATATACAAAGTGCACACATCACAGATTATGAGGACTGACACCCCTGGGTTCTCTTTTCTTTCTCTTGAGCCCTAAGGCTAAGATATTAAAAATTAAGAAATTTAATAGATTAACATTATTGCAGTTCTTGATCAGTGATGCCCAAAATTAGATGGGAATCTCTTGAGAGACCACGTTTCTGTTTGTAGCATTCTTCTTAGCCATTTCTGCGAAAATTGTGGTCGTGGGCCCAAGGCAGTTTACATGAGCAAGTGCTTTCCGAAAGATAGAAGCAAGAAGACCTCACTGTAACGTGTTTTATGTGGTGGTTTTGTCCTGGTTGTCTAGCAGAGGGAATTTAATGCATAGACGATGAATACTGAAAGAGTGAAAACGCGGTTAAGAGTCTTGCTTGCAAGGCAAGCTTGCTTTTACCAAACATTCGTTTTCAATAAACTCTTAGGGGCATTAGAAAGTCACTGGTGGTAAATGGTTATGAGGGTTTGAACATGAGCCAAGGGGAGGGCGTGGCGAAGGCAAACGTAGTTAGGGATCATCTGGGTCTTTTATTCTTTTTACGTCGTTTTGTGTAGAAGGAAATGCTTTTACTTCACTTTCACGCTCTTACCTTCCTCCTCACCTTACTTTTCTCCCACATTTAGACTTTGAGTTCCCTCCATCTAAAAATATTCGCGATTTTAAAACTCTTAATACTCATTTTCTGCAGTACTTGCCTGAGCCCTTGTGGTCCTGAGCTTAGCCGCACACTTGCTTAAGAGTTTTGGTTCCTGTTCTCTATCTGGGTGGTTTGGTGAAGACGACACTTTAGGTTCCAACAAGAACCACTGCTAGGACTCCGCGGCTTTACGCCGACGCGCCGCGGCCGGGCAGACGCCACCAGCGCAACGCGCAGTCTCCGCCGACGTAGGCGCGGTCTCCGTGATGCAACGCGCGCCCCCTCTGGCCCCGCCCAAGGCCGCCCAGACGTGCCGCGCGCCAACCCACAATTCCCGCTGCGCGCTGCGATCCCGCCGCCGCCGCCGCCGCCGCCCGTTAGGGCTCCTGCAGCCGGCGACATGTTGCAGAAACCGAGGAGCCGGGGCCGCCCTAGCTCCCAAGCGGAGAGGGACTGGGGCCGCGGCGCGGCCGAGGAGGCCCCGAGCACCTCCCGCGGGGCGGGCAGCTCCCAGGAGACCCGGAGCACATCGTCGCAGGGCGCCCGCCGGCCCGAGGCCTCCCCGGAGGTGGGGCCCAGGTCCCAGCAGCAGCTGGAGCTGAAGGTGGCCGAGCTGGTGCAGTTCTTGCTGATTAAGGACCAGAAGAAGATCCCGATCAAGCGCACTGACATACTGAAGCACGTCATCGGGGACTACAAGGACATCTTCCCTGACCTCCTTAAACTGGCTGCCGAGCGCCTCGAGTACGTCTTCGGGTACAAGCTGGTGGAACTGGAACCCAAAAGCAACACCTACATCCTGATCAACACCCTGGAACCGGTGGAGGAGGATGCCGAGGTGAGAGGCGATCAGGGCACGCCCACCACCGGCCTCCTGATGATTGTTTTAGGTCTCATCTTTATGAAGGGCAATACCATCAAGGAAACGGAGGTCTGGGACTTCCTGCGTCGCTTAGGGGTGTACCCCACAAAAAAGCATTTAGTTTTTGGGGACCCAAAGAAACTTATTACCGAAGAATTCGTGCGGCAGCGTTACCTGGAGTACCGGCGGATACCCCACACTGATCCTGTAGATTATGAATTACAGTGGGGCCCCCGAACCAACCTGGAAACCAGCAAGATGAAAGTTCTTAAGTTTGTGGCCAAAGTCCATAATCAAGACCCCAAGGACTGGCCAGCACAGTACTGTGAGGCTTTGGCAGATGAGGAGGCCAGAGCCAGACCTGAGACAGGTGGCCCAGCCCCCTCCTCTTGAAGTCTGAGACAGATTCGGAGGGACTTCTGGGGAAGGTCAAAGGCACTGGGTGAAGGGTTAGGGGTGGGAAGGAGCATATTTCTGTAACGCTTAAATGTGTGTGGATTTAGGATGTGTTTGCAAACTTACGTTCTCACGTTCTCTTAATGTAAGTTATTTGGTTCCAACTTTTCACTTTTAAAATATTAGGGGATTTTGGTTTGATTTGTTTTACCGTTGTATATTTTGGCGTAAAAATTTTGCTACCATTATACAACTGATTGAAAAACTTTGTACCGTGATCTGGAACAGGTGTTTAAAAAAGAACACATTACTTTGGCGCCAAGAAAATAAAAGCGAAGTGGTTATTGTCTGGTCTCTTTAACAGTTTGTAAGTTAAAATAAAAACCTTTATAAATTTAAAAAAAAATGTAATTGTCTATATCCTTTTTTACCTTGACAGCTATTTTATATTTATATATTTCCCATGTATATAAGCATTATGCATCATCTAAGTAATGTACGTATTGTATTTTCTCCGAATAGCAGTTTTTTTTAATATTCATAATTATCACTCAGCTCTGTGACCATTTAGTGCCATTTGGTTTTTTCTTTTTTTTTGTTTTTTCTTTTTTTGTGGCTGTAATTGTAATAAATACTGTATCTTTGAAGCAATTAGGCATTGTGCATTTTTCAGTCATGGTTCATGACCCAAAACCAGCATCTTAAAAGCATTTTTTTCTTGCTACATACTATTAAGATAGTGTTTTGTAGAAGTTGGCTTACTTTTATATGTGTGTGTGCATATTGGATCACGATCTAAAATAGAAAATACATTTCTCACTGGGTACAAAAAAGTGGATAAAACTGTTAGTGATTAACCATGCCTACTTGGGAATCAGACTACCTGGTTCAGGTCCTCGCTTCACATAACTAGCTGTATGAATTTAGGCAGGTTATTTGTATACAGATGTTTCCTCACCTGTAAAATGAGCTGATGATGCTCATGCTATGTGTGATAATGTGGTAATTAGATTCTGGAAGTATATGTAAAGTTCTTGGTACAATGCCTGGTGTGGAGGATTTTAGTTGTTAACTTTGTTTCTTAACTTTTTCAATTTGTTTTTTAATCTTGGTCTGGAGTAAAGTCTGTGTTTTGGATTTTTTTTCAGGTTTTCTCTCATTAACTTCTAAATCACAGAGTCGGAGTTAGTGGTTCAAAAGTTATGTCAGTCTTCTAGCCTGACTCTGTTGTGTGGGGCTTGGAAAAATGTAACTCATGGTATATTGTGAGTATAGCCTATATAAAGTAGAGCAGGACAGTTAGACAAAAGATCTCCCCTGGGCTTGAGAGCTAATTGTATAGTGAAAATGTATGGGTTTTGAGGTTGTCTGACAAACGGAATTTGAATTAGGGCTCATGCTATGTCAGCATGCTGATTCAGGGTAGATTTTAAGTTTTCTGAATCTCAGTTTACCTGTAAGATGGGAAAAACAGTAACTATATCATAGTTTTTTACATGGATTAAATGAGTCTGAAGAAAAGAGCTTCCAATCTCTTCCCATTGTATAACCCCATAGCCTCTGGCAAAATGCTGCTTATATTCAGAGACTCAACAAATAATTATTCAGGGGGTGAATAAGTATAATTGTTTGAGAAGGTACTACAAATTAACCCTGAAATGAGATAATTTAGCTAAAAAAAAAGGTGGATTTGATCAACCCTGGATTAAATGTCATCTAGAAGAGTCTATGGTGGGTTTGTAGTGGTATGGAAGAATGTGATAGGTTACTGTGTTTTGTTTTTTTTTTTACATTTTATTTATTTGACAGAGGGAGACACAGTGAGAGAGGGAACACAAGCAGGGGGAATGGGAGAGGAAGAAGCAGGCCTCCTGCCAAGCAGGGAGCCCGATGTGGGGCTTGATGCGGGGCTTGATGTGGGGCTCGATCCGAAGGCAAATGCTTAACCTACTGAGCCACCCAGGTGCCCCAGGTTACTGTGTTTTATTTTATTCTTTTGAATCGGAATTTGCATTTATTTCATCAATGGGATATAATTGGCCCTTGAAGGCATTTCTTCTTGGTTTGCCTTTTATTTCAGCGTATAAATTACCTTGTGATTGAGCATCCTGCTTACTGGTCCCTTACTTCACTAACTACTTTCCCTTCTGGAGTGTTTTAGCACTGGTATTTTCATCTGTATGGTGAAAACTACCATTACCCAGAACCCACGATCAGTTATGTCTGAGGCAGATCTCTTCTCCCACTCCCACACTTTTCCATAGAGATGTTAACAATTTACCTTTAATGAATTACCATTTTGTTTCAGGTTTTATTTTTTACTTATTTAAAATTTTTATTTATTTATTTATTTATTTATTTATTTATTTATTTATTTATTTATTTTTATTTTAAGCAATCTCTACATCCAACATGGCGTCTGTACTCACCATCCTGAGATCAAGAGTTGCATGCTCTTCCTACTAAGAGATTTTTTTTTTTTTTAAGATTTTATTTGTTTATTTGACAGAGAGAGACAGGGAAAGAGGGAACATAAGCAGGGGCAGTGGGAGAGGGAGAAGCAGGATTCCCGTGGAGCAGGGTGCCCAATGTGGGGCTCCGTCCCAGGACTCTGGGATCATGACCTGAGCAGAAGGCAGATGCTTAATGACTGAGCCACCCAGGCATCCCCCCTACTAAGAGATTTTAAAATGTAAAATGTAAAACATTACAGGCCAGATGAAGCCCTGTGTCTTTTTACCCTTCCCAGAGGTGTCAAAAGTTTGTGGATATCATTCCATTGTATGATATAACGCTTTTACTCCCTCCCACACACACCCACCCACACCGACACACACACACATATATATATGAACAATATATAGTAGCATTTTGTGAGCTTTTATGACATAGGGCGCATTATACTATAGTGTTGCCACTTACTGTTTTAACTCGCCTTGTATTTGACATTTAGTCACAAAGGTCTGATTTATTGTTTATAGCTGTTCTTTCATGTGGAGAAAAAGTAACAGTTTGTTTATCTATTTCCTAATGGTTGGACAGGTTCTTTCCAATTTTTTGAGATTTGCCTGCTGTGTATAGTGCTTCTTTAGGCACATGTGAGTTTCTCTAGCCAGAAATAAATAGAGCAATCATGGGGCATTGCCAAATTGTTCTTGAGCTTGTGTTAAATTACAATCTACCAATATTTTAGAGTTCTTTTTCACTGACCCCCCTCTTATAAAAATTAGCCCTTCCAGCCCTACTGTGGGTATGCAGTGATAATTTATTGTAGTATTAACTTGCACCTCTAGTTTACTAGTGACATTAAGTATCTTTTTTTTTTTGCCATCAAGTTTTATATCTGTTAGACTTTTTCTATTTTTTATTGATTTGTAAGATTTCTTTATATATTTTGCATATTAATCCATTGTCTGTTATATCTAGTGCAAACAGCTTGTCACATTTCACTTTTTTTTTTTGGTCATACAGATGATTTGTTTTTTTTTTAAAGATTTTATTTATTCATGAGAGACAGAGGGAGAGAGAGGAGAGAGAGAGAGAGAAGCAGAGGGAGAAGCAGGCTCCCAAGGGGCAGGGAGCCCGATGTGGGACTCGATCCCAGGACCCTGGGATCATGACCTGAGCCGAAGGCAGACGCTTAACCATCTGAGCCACCCAGGCGCCCAGATGATTTGGTTTTAATGTGTCAAAATCATTAGTGTTTTATTTTTGAGGGCTATGTTTTTTGTGTAGTGCTTTAAAAAAAAGTCTCCCAAGCTTTGCGCAGTGGCAGTATCGTAGCCAATGAGGTTTATCCGAGGCGCGATTATTGCTAATTAAAAAAAAGTCTCCCTAATCCTAGTAAGTGTTAAAAATTTTTGACTTTCACATTTATGTTTTTAATCTTTTTATATGATATGAGGTATGGGTATAATTTTCATTTTTTTTCCTATATGGATTGCCTAGCACCAACTTCTCATAGTTTATCCACAGTGATTTATAATATGCTATTTTATACAACATCTCCCATATAAATGAATTTTAGCTGGGACTAAATCGATTTATATGATTTCCTATTCCTTTGCTAATACCATGCTATTATAATTCTATAGCATCATAATATAAGGGGTTTTTCTCCTTTTCAGTTCTTACAGCTTTTATTTTGGTCTTGACTTTTTGCATTGGCTTAGAACTGTAATACATTCTTTTTTTTTTTTTTTTAAGTGGCACACTAGGCCTCAAGGATATTCCTGATTTTAAAGGGAATCATTTTTAAGGTTTTGTATCAACTATGTTTGCTTTTAGTTTTTTTTCCCATAAATATCTTTACTTGTATTTTTAAATTTCCCCCCGTTGCTAGCTTGCTTAGAGATATTTAGAAAAATTATGAATAGTTTTTTTAAATTTGTATCATGTTCTTTATTAATCTGCTAATGTGATTAAATTTTTATTTTTGCTCTGTAAATTCAGTATACTTTTTAATGTAGTTTAGTGTAGTAACACTGATAGGTTTTTCTGATATCTAACAATCCTGGGGCAAATCCTTCTTTGGATGATACATTTTAAAACAATTTGTTTTTTTATTTGCTAAAAGTTTATAAATTTTTTTTTGGTCATAAGTGGAATTAGCCTCTAATTTTCCTATATTGTATTGCATTATTGGCTTTGAGATTACACTTATTTTTTTATTTATACCCATACTTACAGGAAAGTTGCAAGCACAGTGCAAGGAATTTTATCCCCCGGAGCTATTTGAGTGCATTAGTTATCATGTTTCTTTATTCTCCTTCAGTCTGCAAACAGTTCCTTAGTCCTTCTTTGACTTTTATGATCTCGACACTTGAGGACTACAGGCTGTTATTTTGTAGAACATCTGCAGTTGGAATTTGTCTGCTATTGCTTTATGATCAGATTCAAGTTATGCATCTTCAGCAGGAATACCATGGAAGTGATGCTGTGTTTTTCTCTTTTGGATCCTGTCAGTGGCACAAAATTTCAATTTGTCCTGTTTGGTG